TTCGTCAAGGGACATACGGTGATTCACTGGATCGAAACGTTATCCTATAGTACCGCTTCATAGTTTCGTCTCGTGACCTCTAGCTCGTTCTGTTCTTATCTCTTGTTCAGGCGAACAGACTCCCGATAATCTTAACAGTACTATCACTGAAATGGTCTCGACAGCACACCGTACTACAAAGATTTCGGTCTGCACTTGTAGAAGTTTATTTAGTATCAAAAATTCATTAGTGTGTCGACAAACCGCTGATCGAAAGAGTTCTTAAAAACTCTCCTTTCGCCTTCAATTCTTTATACAGATATCAACCATTTGGAGACTAGCTCACCACGAAAAATTCTTCTCGCAAAATAGTGACGATGGAAACTTACTAACACCTCGTATTCGCCTATTTTTGCTGTATAAGTATTATAAATTATTTTCTTCACCATTTAGTTCACTTTTTGAATAAAATTGTGCGATCAACCTTAGCCCAGATTCTATGTGCAACTACAAATCTTCTCTCTTGTAACTTAATTAACAAGTTCCAATACCGACTTTTCGTAGATCAAATAGTAGATTCCACTTAATAAGTCTCGAATGCAAAGGCCCTCGGACCAACTATTGTGATATATTGACCAGTTTCCGGTTCTCCGTAACTAAAACAACGATTCTCCATTGTTAAAATCGCACATTTTTCGTGTATTTTAATCAGGATGATCACGATACCCTTATCTCCGGTCAGCTCGACACAGAGCAGTCGGACCGATCGTACCGACTTTTCTTTGGAATCCGTAAATAGAATAAGAGTAGATATACATTCTCATCATTTCCGAACGAGAGGCACGAAATGCGTCACGAAAGATATAATGTAACTCTCATTATACCGGTTTAATTTGCTCTAAGAGTTCAAATCACCTTGCGGTGTTAGGCAAAGTTCAACAGAGCTGAAACGAAATAAAACGCCCAACCCGTAATACCGGTACTCGATTCAGTACAACAAAATAAAGAGAACAAAGTTTCCTCGTTCGTTCTCAGATTTAAAATAAGTGTTCGCGTAGCATCGTGATAGTTAGTTGTACTAGTTAACCCACCACATGTAAACATTTTCCAAGCGAGGGAATGAAGTCTGTACGCTAGCTTCAATATCAATATACACCTAGATGAAGGAATTTAAACGATATTCGTGATTGTCTATCCAAAGACGACGTCCTCGAAAACCGATTACGAAACATCAGATCATTGTCATGAGGTTTTCATGATTCTTTACAAGCCTATTTCGTCCTATACGCCAAGCTGATTTCAACGGTAAAGTTATGGTAATTCAGTCTTTGTTCCAGCTCTACACTAATATTCTCACCCACAAATATAATGTGAGACTGTCTATTGGGTTGTATTAGATTATATCTCAATTACCGTATGTCATTCCGATAAAAAATGTAGCAGTGAACTTATAACTTCAGTGGCATGCTATTATATGAAATAGACAAAATTTTGGTTTCGACTATTTTGAGGTCTTAAGACTATCTTAAGACTATATCCTGGTACCACGTCGCCTGTTACTTGTTTATTCTAACCCGACGTTCGAAGGTCCAGCTCACCGCATTCTGATATGCTCCGAAAGTTTCCTTCCCATAGTATTACAAATCATAACTTTTCATTTGAACTCAGTTCTAACCGACTTGAGGTGGAGGGAGCGGGCACTGGGCGAGCTCGTTATACTCAGTAACTATACCGACCCACCTCACCGGAGTAATACGCGCTTCAAGGCTGGATTATTGTAACTCCTTATTATCAGGGTGTACCAAGAAGTCAGTCAAGTCGCTTCAGCTGATTCAAAATGCTGCAGCTCGTGTACTAACCAGAGTTAGGGAAAGGGACCACATTACTCCTGTTCTGGCTGCCTTACACTGGCTCCCTATAGAACACAGGATAGAATTTAAAATTCTTCTTCTCGCCTACAAAGCCCTTAATGGGCAGGCGCCATCTTACCTTAAAGAGCTCATTATACCCTATTGTCCTACTAGGGCATTGCGTTCCAAGAATGCAGGGTTGTTGGTTGTTCCTAGAGTCTCTAAAAGTACAATGGGAGCCAGAGCCTTTTCTTATCAAGCTCCACTTTTGTGGAATCAGCTTCCAGTTTGTGTTCGGGCGGCAGACACCCTATCCGTTTTTAAGAGTGCGCTTAAGACCTTCCTTTTTGATAAAGCTTATAGTTAGGGCTGATTAGATTCAACCCCTAGTTTTGCTGATATAGGCTTAGTTTGTCAGGGGACATCTTACTTCTTCCTTCTCTCTGTCTATACCTGTGTACTCTCATGTTCCGATTAACCCAGCTTCCCCAAATGTCTTTCTTTTTGGTGTCTATATACGCCGGGATCCGGAGTCATGGATGATCCTGCGGTCCTGTGTCCTGGATCGCGAGTCCTGGATCTTGAGTCGTGGCTGTGGTCCTGGATCATAAGTCCTGGATGGATATCCTCGTGGATTCATCTTCCTATTAAAACACACATGCATTTCCAAACATTTGGTCTACCCATGTTGCAAATGTATTATCTTTTCAATTTACACACGGCATCTATTGCACGTCTGTCCGTCCTGGGAGAGGGATCCCTCCTCTGTTGCTCTCCCTGAGGTTTCTCCATGTTCCCCTTTAAACTGTGGGTTTTCTCTGGAAGTGTTTCCTTGTACGATGTGAGGGTCTAAGGACAGAGGGTGTCGTATTGTCATACTGATATTCTGTACAAACTGTGAAGTCCACTGAGACAAATGTAACATTTGTGATATTGGGCTATATAAATAAACATTGATTGATTGATACATCCATGCCGACTTCAGGCGAGCTTTTTGAGACCTCCCCCAGCTGCGATCGGCTATTCTTTCACACACACATACGGGTATTGGGCCGAGGGCGACACCGTACTTCCGGTATCCGCCATTTTACGCGAGGTGCAAGAAGGCCGAGGGTTTAGCCGTGTTACTTACAGATACAATACTTTGAAGATGGTGAAGTGGTGTAGTGCTGGGACTTGTAGAAATCAAGTAAAAAAGTACTAATTTATGATATAATAAAATATAATAAAAAAACGTGAGAAGTAAGAAAAAAAAATACTTTCCAAAGTAAAAATCCTGTAACAGTCTAGGTGTTGCTAAGCTTCCTGTACTGAATATCATAGTCTATTGCCTTAATCAATATCTAGTCAACTCTAAAATACCACATATATGCAATGGCATGATAATATTATTGTGGCAAGTGGGGTATTCACCTGGTGTTTCCAGAAGATAGACGTAGATGCTGCCAAAATCGACCGAAGGCCACTTTCGAGGGCGTTTTTCCATACATCTGCAGGCAGTCTGTAAGGGCAATCCGACAACCCACACAGCTCTAGTTTACGCTGGTAACGACCTAGAGCACACCCCTCAAGTCCAGAGATGTAATCCGAAGACATGCAGCGATTTCTTCAGTCGTTAATTCAGAAAAAAAAACTAGTGTGCTCTGCCTGGCTACGTTAGCTAGCTGTTTATATTTGCACCTCCAGGATATTTGCACCTCCAGGAAAATGGCGTATTTCGCGCGTTGCATTGTGGGTAGCTCGTGACGTCACTGTGTGTGAAAGAATTCTCGTCTACTTCCGAGGAGAGCCGCAGCTCGTCTCAAACAAGCCTACTGTTTGTGTGTCTGTATTTTCCCCATAAGGCAAGACCCGCCCAGCTCTGTCTCTGATTGGCTTACCCTGAAATGTTACCCCGCGTTAACCAATCATCACTCCTCTCTGGTTACTTTCACTTTTCCATGGTGCTGTGAGAGGACATCGCTGTATTCGCCTGTAAATTACATCCGCAGGGAGATTCGGTTCAGTTCCAACCGTTCCACCACATAATGTAACGCAGTAACGCGCCCATTTAAATCACAGTAACTATAACGACGTGACTTAATGGGAATAGGTAACTAGTAACGCTATTAGTTACCGCAAAAAAGTAGTTGCGTTACAGTAACGCGTTAGTCCCAACACTGTTAACAACGATCGTTTTTCAGACACGTAAACTCTTCAAAAATCACCAGTGGGGTCACTGCTGATGTATTTAATGTCGTAGAACAAAACGTGATCCGTCTCTTAAATTGGTGTCAACCACAGACCTTATTTCCAGCTATTTTCCAAAATCCTATGGAGAAATCCCATTGACGAAGGAACCTGTAGTGGTAAAATGCTAACTCACTTCCGGGTTTTAGGACTCGTCACTGTACCACTCTATTAAGCTGCAGGTTCACTGGGTCACTGTTTTTATTTTTGAATTTCTTTCACTGTAGTATCAACATAAATGTTTACTATTTCATTACCAGACGTTACCAGCCATGTGTCCCTGCCAGTAATTAAACAATGTACATTTTCTCAGGAACTAAACATAAGCACGATTTAAGGTCCTGAGTATTTATTAACATTATTCAGGACATTTTATGATGAACTGCTAAAATGTGAGGATTTGCTGTTTTTTCGTTTGATTACTTTAATTTATCTTCAAAATTTGGAGATTTTCTAAAATGTTCGGCATTGAGTACCTTTTTTTTTAAGACCAAATGCACATTTTCATATTGATTGTACATACCTTTACAAAATAATTTCCACAAAGCCTCAAAACATTTTTTTTATTTTGTTGTTGGTATTTTTGACATACTGTGGATTTGAAAACTACCTCGAACTGTCTTGTACAGTGCCACGTGAAATATATAGAATATTTTATGCGTATTTTAGTTGTAATTGCTCTCAAAAGTTGCATTTATCTTAACAAAGTTATGTTTAAAAAAAATTGCCCGAACCAACTGACACATTAAAAACCGTGTCCTTGATATTTTCAGCACAAGAGAAAACATGAATTGAATGCCGACACTATCATAAATCGAGGAGTTATAAATTTAGAGAAGACTTCCTGGTCCTCAGAGGATGAACCCGTATATATTTTTTATTTACCTGAAAGGCTTTGAGAAAAGATGAATCATGGTCATTTGAGTGTTTTTGACATCATACCGACAGCGTCCACTCCCAGTTGGTGCAGCAGCCGGGCCTCAGCGATGGATTCAAAGTTGGGCCCCCCCACCATGGCGTACACGCCCTCCTGCATGAGCTCGGACACGCCCAGCTGCTTCCCGATTTCCATCGCTGAGCTGCGCAGACCTTTGTCATAGCAACCAGACATCGCCGGGAAACGAGGTCCGAACCTGAACACAACAAAACGATAAACAACAACTGAAATAAAAACAACTGCAAAGCAGCACACTTCAAAATGTTACTGTGACAGCAAAATTAAAGTGGACACATCATGCTATATTTGAAAGATATATTGTAGGGCCATACCTATATAAAACATGTCTGTGAAGTTTTTTTTTCAAAATACCAAACAGATCATGAGTTTTAGCCATGCCTCATTTCGCTCTATTTGCTCTTTTCCAGCAATGTTTTTGCAAGGGCTGATTCTGTCAGAAGACTTCTTCGCTGCTTTTGTGGCAGACAACAGCGCCACTTACAGGCCTGGCAAATGTACTAAAGCTACTCCAGCGCTTTCGAGCGGTCTCTCATTCCCCTGATAGGTGGAGAGTTGCCCATATAGGCGGAGCACCCCTTTTCTGACGTCAGAAAAATTCAAATAATAATCAGCTCCGTTGCAGCCCCATTTTTAGAGATTTGGGTATGGAGGAAAAGAGAGAGGGTTGTGTTTTCTGACACTTGGTGAGTTCGCTGACACACCGGGGACACATATTCATGTATAAAAGATATACAAAAGTGCATTTTGCATGATAGGTCACCTTTAAGGTCACATGGAGAATATTAATCTGTGGCCCGCAGGCCTTCATACTTTTAATTAAATAAAAGTTGAAACCAGGAAATCTGTCCAATACATCAACCCCTTTTTTTTAAGAACAAGGAAAATATAGGTGAAGAAGTATGTAATTGAATGAGTAATACCTGGGATAACTATGAATAATATGGTCGCTATAAACTTGAACCTCACTACATGCATGACTGGATATAACTCCCTGTAGGAGTAATACAGTACCGTGTTAAACTGATACCATATCAGATCGAAATGCTGTTAATGCAGTAAGGTCACTATCAATTTGAAACAATAGCGGATCAAATGCCACAGAGTATATATATCTAAGTCATAATATATGTACCAACTACCATTGTATGCACAATGGATTCAAAACGCACAACATAAAAAACTGTTCAGCATATTAAAAAAAGTATATACACGTTTCTCACTTGTCGTCGTTGGGTCCGAACAGTGGGTTCATGCAGACCAGCCCGGGGAAGTTAACGTGGTCTTTAATGATCATGATGTCACCGGGTCGGAGGCCGTCAGCCAATGAACCGGCTGCGTTTGTCACAATCAGAGTCTCCACCCCTAACAGCTTGAAGACTCGCACTGGAAATGTCGTCTGATTAACAGACAGAGACAGATATTTATATCAAAACCTTGGCAATACTTTCCAAAAAATGTGTTGGGCAGAGCTTCTATAGAGCGCCAACTAGAGGACAGTCAGGTATCATCAGCATAGCATACAGAGTCTGTGAGTGTGTGTTTGTGTGTGTGTGTGTGTGTGTGTGTGTGTGTGCGTGCGTGCGTGCGTGCGTGCGTGTGTGTGTGTGTGTGTGTGATAAAGGGAAACAATAGCAGCATTGAACTGTCTGCTAAAAGGCTGCATGTGACTAACTCATGCATGACTTGAGCCAGGTTCACAAATGTGGAAACACACACACACGCACACCCACACCCACACCCACACACACACACACACACACACACACACACACACACACACACACACACACACACACACACACACACACACACACACACATCACGTTACAGGTTCAGTCTCATGCTGCTGATTACAAAAAAATGTATGTGTGTAATACCGAGGTTTGCGTGACTGAGGTGCTTTAATCAGCTTACGTACAGTGTGTGCAATGCTCCCCTGTGAATCATTTATCTAGTCATTTTTATTTTTCTGTTTATATTTATTTTGTGTTAACAAAATTAAACATTGAAACACTGAAATGGTGAAAAGTGTGATACTGATCTAACTGCTGTTACCAGTGGTGAAATTACTAAAATGAATCGTACTGAACTGAACCTGATGAGTGTGTGCTCTTGTGTGGGCTGGATTGAGTTAAAAGTCTTGAGTTTAAGTTAGTATTAATTCAAGGAGTATTTTGTGCTGCACTTTTACACATTAGGAAGAATCACAGAGGACAGAATAAAACCTCGATACATTACGCGCTTTCACACCGCAGTACTTTTCCCACAAAGGTTCATCAGAACTTAGTTCATGAGAACTCTCTTTAAGAGAGAACTAAGTACAGATCGCGTTCATACCGGAATAAGTCCCTGGGGGAGGATTAGACAAATGAAGCCGCTGACGTCACTTATTCTTCTTCTGCTTTGGGTTTACTGGCAGGCCGCAAACAACTTCACGGCGTATACTGCCACCCGAAGTCCACGGCCGGAAGTCCCCGGAGTTGGGGACTGGCTTCAGTAGAAGCTGCTGGGCGCCTTCCGAGTAAATCGCCAGAACGCCGACACCTCCTCATCACTCCACCGCTCCCATTGTGTTGCCATAAGTTAGTCTCTCTGTGTTTCTGCGCTGGGCTAATGCTAATAATGTTAATGCGAGGATAATAAAATGGCGGCTTCACAAAACTTTTTGGGAGTTTTACGGGGCGTGGTTTGCAATCCGCCCAGCCAATCAGACATAGGAACCTTTTTCTCCCACGAAAGTACCTGCTCTCTAGCAGGGACGGAAAAGGGGGTAAAAAGGTTCTCATGAACTAATTAGTGCAAATTTTATTTATAGCATTCCACTATAGTTCTTTGAATCTTTATTCTTCCCCTTCTTATTTCAGGCAATACTTTGGCTCTCCATAACTTCAGCATACTTTCAGCTACAGAAACCATTCAAATAATAAACTATTCAGCCTTTTCAGCAATCGATGTGAAACTTTCAACTTTTTCAAAATATGTCATACTTTTAGAAATATTCAGCTTTTTAAACTATTTTTTTAACATGGAAGTCAATGGGAGGAACCTTCAAATCCTCTTTTACCTATATACCTTGCGCCAAATGCTTTACCTTCCACAAAGAATATTGAACCAAAATGCCTCTTGAGGGAATGAAGAGATAAAAAGTCACCTAGCTCCCAATTGATTCCCATGTTAAAAACATC